TTCCAGTATTACTATACTTTTCCAAGCAGGTAAGGGAATAGAATAAAATTAATCATAGTTGGAAAAGTGCAGTTATATTGAGAGTGTTACAATGAATGCCACAAAACTAAACGTGCATAAATATTTGAATGGAAAACCAATTAGTTTTGTTAACTTTCAAATTGTTGTTGTTAGGCGCCGTACAGTCTGTCGAGTTGTAGCCGATTCATCACGACTCTATGAACAAGAGGCCTGAGCACTGTTCATGGTTTCCGGAGGCAAGCCTTTTCGGAAGTGGATGCCACTTCCAGGCTTGTTTTAATCGGGAAGCTCCAGCAAACACTGTCCACCATGGGTAACCATTACCACGTTTGGCATATCAGTGTCCCAGTGTTCAGCATTACAACAACCATGAGTTACCTCTGTACAGCAATGCACAGACCAGTGTTATACCACCTAGAATGTTTGATAGGAAAACAATTTGAACCAGGCCCGAGGGCCACAGATTAAAATCACCCACCTCGGGCTTGGTACCATAACTTTCTGTCCACTAGGCCAACGGAGCTCTCTATGTTGCATTGTTATTGTTGTTAGGTGCCATCGAGTCATAGATGACTCATAGCGACCCTATGAACCAGAGGCCTTAGCACTGTTCAAATTACAATTAAAAAAAAAATTACCTTGGACATTTTGGTAGAAGTATGAAGGCCTCTAATAAACAAAAGGTGAAACTGAATATTCACATTTTATGTATCCGATTATCTTTATAGTATCCTATAGGTTTTTTTCCCGTTAGAAATGTACTATTAAATATTCAGTTTATTCTAAATAAGACTATACTCCAGTTTAAGTTGTATGGCTGAAAGACTGAAACTGGCAATCTCTCTTAAACTGTGTAAGCAAAAAGAGGGTAATATATTCAAGAGAGCAAGTGGTCAGTGACAAAATGACCTCTCACATTTTCCTGGTGAGTCACAACTAGTTTATAGTGGACCCTACAGCTGGCTTTCGGAGGCTGTAAATCACATGGGAGGATACAGCCCATCTTTCTTCCTTG